CCCCCTGCTTGTGTTCCCTCTCTCGCTGTCTCTCTCTGTGTCAAATAAATAAAATCAAAAAAAAAAAAAGAATCAAATAAAATATATTTGAAGTTTCTGGGTAAAAATGGTAGATGAACACATGTATCTAATCTTGCTCTACTAAAAATACACTAAAACTACAGCAAAGGGATTTTTTAAGCCATAAATCTACAAAGACAGGGAAACAGGAGAGGAAACAGGAGCAAAATACTTTAGGAAGTTGGGAAGCATATGGATGAATGGTTACTGACTTAGACTAGAGAAGGATGGGTCCTAAAGCAGCATTGGGGCAACCAGATGGCAAACAGAATTGGTTGCACCAGATGGCTGGCCACCCCAGAAGGAAGACCTAAAGATGTTAGCATCAGAGGCTCCCTCAAGCAAAGCTCTTGGCTGACAAGCCCCACCCATATACCTGAGCTCACAGAGCACAGATGCTTCCAGTTGGCTTTTTGGTAACCCATCCTTTAATGTGAGCAAACAACCAAGGATTATCACACCTCCAAGAAAAGAGTCTAACATGAAAGAGACCAAAACAACAGGAAAAGAAATTTAGAGAAAACAGATTATGCAGAAAGAAGAAAATTGAAACAAAATTAGCATTAGTAGCTTCAGAGATAAGATAAACCATTGCAACACTGAAACAAAATAAGATGCTATTAGAAAGGAATACTCGGAGAATAACAGTAAAATGAGCGTAATAAAAATCTTTACAGTATTGAAAACTCAGTAGAAGAACGGGAAGATACGATTGAGGAACTCTCCCAGGAAACAAAGTAATAACGATGGAAAGTAGGAGAGAAAAATAAGAAATTGTTAGGAGCAGTCCATCAGATCCATCATCTGGATTTTAGGAGTCCCCCCCAAAAAAGAACGGGGAAAATGGAAGGGAAGAAATCACCAATGGGATGATATAAGATTATTTCCCAGAAGTGAGAGAGCACTGAGTGCCCAGCATAATAAATAGCCTCTCACCAAGACATACCACTGCCATCCTAGAACACTAGAGACAAGGAGAGGTTCAGAGATGGGGGAAAAGTCACTTACAAAGGATAAGGACTTAAAAGGCTTCAGACTTCTCACGAGCAACAATGAAAGCTAGGAAGTAATGTCATAATGTCTTCATAATTCCAAAGAAATTCAATACCCAACCAACCAATCAAGTGTTGGCGTAGAATAATGGCAATGTCAAACATTCAAAGTTTCAAAACAATTTACCTCTCCCTTTCTCGAGAAGCTTCTGGAAGATGGTCTCCAAAAAGAGGGAGTAAATTAAACAAAAATGAAAAAGACATGGAACATGGCAAATAAAAGATCCAACAAAGGAGAGATCAAAGACAATACCAGGAAGATGAGAGAGGAGAGGCCAGGTTACCAGGTCTGCAACAAGGGTCAGGGATAAACACTCGGATTGGAGCAGGTCAGAAGGCTCCAGCAGAGATCTCTTCAAGAAGATGAAGTTGATAGAGTATCTGCTGTGTCTAGATATTCTGAGAAAAGATTCAGGCAAGTAGGGGAAGATTTTGAGGCAGATTTTGTGATAAATACATAGAAAACTAAACAAATGAAAAAACAAGGTAAGTATTAATTCCAGGAAAAATCAAAAGTTGTGCAGGAGAGGAAGAGTCATCAAAGGTTTCTACATGGCTCAACTCTGAGTAGCAGGTGTAGTCAGTGTTGTAAAAACTGAAAACTGAACTAACACAAATTATCACATTAAATTTGGCAGATGAGAATGACGTGATCTCAGTGGGCTGGGGAGGAGACCTGAAGGAAAAAAGTTAAATCCTCCAACCTGCCCCTTTTATTTGTGGGAGCTGGGACAAGACTACAAATGGGAAACTTACTCAAATATTTTAATGTTACAAATTAAGCTAGCAAACTGTTAAATAAAATACCTTCTAAACTCCTAACTTTACCAATATACCTTTATAAGGACCTGGAAAGCCAGATTCTAAATTAGAATTTTTGGAATCCTCAGAATCCACACTAGAAAATAGGAGCCCCCAGCCCCTGACTCTTGCTTCACCCCTTCTCCTCTGCCCTTGCCTCTGTCCTACATTGAGAGAGCTGCACACAGGGCCCTGTGAAGACCCCAGCTTGGTCTCTTGCCTCTTGCTGCCAATAACAGCCCCTTGGCTATCCGTCAGGCCTAGCGATGCCCCCAGGATCAGCAAGGTCTTCCTGGGGAAGAGAGATCCAAGGAGGCAAGCTGGGCAGGGAAATCCAGAGTCCCAGGTATTCAGAATATGGCCTATAAGGGGGTAAGTGGTCTTTGGATAGGCATATCCCCTTGGACTCCTTACCCTGTGGGGAGGGACGCAGCTGAAGAGGGCCAGGGTAATGAAGGTAAAGCGCCAAAAGAAACAACTTCAAAGAGCTGAAAATGGCTGCCTCCAGGGAGGGAGAGATGATGGAGGCAGGGCTCTGCTGTTTTTATTAACAAACCCTATACAATTATTTGATTCTTTAAAATAGGTGCCGGGGCGCCTGGGTGGCTCAGTTAGTTAAGCAACTGCCTTCGGCTCAGGTCATGATCCTGGAGTCCCAGGATCGAATCCCGCATCACGCACCCTGCTCAGCAGGGAGTCTGCTTCTCCCTCTGACCCTCCTCCCTCTCATGCTATCATTCTCTCTCTCTCAATAAATAAATTAAAAAATCTTTAAAAAAAAATAAAATAGGTGCCTACGTAGGCTAAGAAATACCTCACTTGGGGGCGCCTGGGTGGCTCAGTTGGTTAAGCGACTGCCTTCGGCTCAGGTCATGATCCTGGAGTCCCAGGATCGAGTCCCGCATCGGGCTCCTTGCTCAGCGAGGAGTCTGCTTCTCCCTCTGACCCTCCCCCCCCCATGCTCTCTCTCTCTCATTCTCTCTCTCTCAAATAAATAAAATCTTTAAAAAAAAAAAAGAAAGACCTCACTTGGAAAAGAAAAATTAAAGTTACATGTGACTGGTAAAAGTTTATGGAACCTCTGACCACTTCTGCTAGAGCCCAGAGGTCTCAGTAATAAAGTCTGAAAACCACAGGACTAGGCCTTCATTTGAGGCTATCTAGGTATTGTGAAGAAAACCACAATGAAGTTTCTCTCTACAATCGTCCCCAAGAATGAATCCCTCTTCTTTTCCTCCCATTTGTCCCCTTTAGGAGTTCTGCTTCCTGTTGGTTGTTGTCCAGAACCTCTCTCCCGGTAGCCTCTAAGCCCCTTGCAAGCAGGGACCCGGCTCACGGAGTTCTGAATCTCCAGCACCTAGCATAGCACCGAGCACAGAGCACAGGCTCAACTAAGGGTTGATGAATAAAGAAAAAAGGAAGCATCTTTACCCAGGCTTTGGGGAGAAGGTGCTCGATCCCTTTCTGCACCCTGCACCCGTATAAGGAGCCCTGTCAGTTACTAGCCTTGGAACCTTCTGCATATTCATTAAATAATTTGGGGTTGTAATTCCCTCATCTGCACAACATAGTATTTAGCTCATATCTCTAACGCCTATAAATGATTGGCTCGCTTTCACCGCTCGGTGGAAGCCAAATAAAAGAAGTAACTTCAGGCTCACCTAAGAAGCACGTACGCCTCCGAGGGCAGGGATTTCGGAGGATCTGTCTGCTTTTCTTTTTCAACTGCCGTTTGCCCAGCGCCTGGAACAGTTCGAGGCACATAACAGATGTTCAACAAATACTTGTTTAATGAATGAATTTAAAAGTGCTAAAAAAATAACTGCAACAAATAAAAAAAAACTCTTTGTGAGGTGCAAAGATAGCCCTACATTCTGAATGAACACGTCGGTCCAGCCCCCGGTCCTGGCAGCGAGCGCCCGTGCGCGGCGGACGCGCCAGCCGAACCGCGAAGGCCGGGAAGCGGCGGGCCCGGGTCTGGAGGAGGCCGGCGGGAAGGGAGGGAAGGCAGGAGAGTCGCCGACGCGCGCAGCAGGCCCGGGACGCGCGCTCGAGCCGCTTGGTGCAGCCCGGCTTCTGCGGCTCCCGCCGCCCGTC